GGGTTTAGGGTTTAGGGTTTAGAAACCTCGTCATTGGGTGTTTTGGGTCGTTTGCATTCGCAAATGGCATCGCTGACTGCCCTATTAAAGAGGGTTTAGGGTTTAGGGTTTAGGGTTTAGGGTTTCTAGCGTGTAATGGCGTGTAAGGCCCATTGGAAGACAGCTCTTGAGACCGCGCGTTTAGCAGGGTTTAAATTTGAGGGTTTAGGGTTTAGGGTTTAGGGTTTAGAAACCTCGTCATTGGGTGTTTTGGGTCGTTTGCATTCGCAAATGGCATCGCTGACTGCCCTATTAAAGAGGGTTTAGGGTTTAGGGTTTAGGGTTTAGGGTTTCTGGCGTGTAATGGCGTGTAAGGCCTATTGGGAGGCAGCTCTTGAAACGGCGCGTTTAGCAGGGTTTAAATTTGAGGGTTTAGGGTTTAGGGTTTAGGGTTTAGAAACCTCGTCATTGGGTGTTTTGGGTCGTTTGCATTCGCAAATGGCATCGCTGACTGCCCTATTAAAGAGGGTTTAGGGTTTAGGGTTTAGGGTTTAGGGTTTCTAGCGTGTAATGGCGTGTAAGGCCCATTGGAAGGCAGCTCTTGAGACCGCGCGTTTAGCAGGGTTTAAATTTGAGGGTTTAGGGTTTAGGGTTTAGGGTTTAGAAACCTCGTCATTGGGTGTTTTGGGTCGTTTGCATTCGCAAATGGCATCGCTGACTGCCCTATTAAAGAGGGTTTAGGGTTTAGGGTTTACGGTTTAGGGTTTCCTAGCGTGTAATGGCCTGTAACGCCCATTGGGAGGCAGCTCTTGAAACGGCGCGTTTAGCAGGGTTTAAATTTGAGGGTTTAGGGTTTAGGGTTTAGGGTTTAGAAACCTCGTCATTGGGTGTTTTGGGTCGTTTGCATTCGCAAATGGCATCGCTGACTGCCCTATTAAAGAGGGTTTAGGGTTTAGGGTTTAGGGTTTAGGGTTTCTAGCGTGTAATGGCGTGTAAGGCCCATTGGAAGACAGCTCTTGAGACCGCGCGTTTAGCAGGGTTTAAATTTGAGGGTTTAGGGTTTAGGGTTTAGGGTTTAGAAACCTCGTCATTGGGTGTTTTGGGTCGTTTGCATTCGCAAATGGCATCGCTGACTGCCCTATTAAAGAGGGTTTAGGGTTTAGGGTTTAGGGTTTAGGGTTTCTAGCGTGTAATGGCGTGTAAGGCCCATTGGAAGACAGCTCTTGAGACCGCGCGTTTAGCAGGGTTTAAATTTGAGGGTTTAGGGTTTAGGGTTTAGGGTTTAGAAACCTCGTCATTGGGTGTTTTGGGTCGTTTGCATTCGCAAATGGCATCGCTGACTGCCCTATTAAAGAGGGTTTAGGGTTTAGGGTTTAGGGTTTAGGGTTTCTAGCGTGTAATGGCGTGTAAGGCCCATTGGAAGACAGCTCTTGAGACCGCGCGTTTAGCAGGGTTTAAATTTGAGGGTTTAGGGTTTAGGGTTTAGGGTTTAGAAACCTCGTCATTGGGTGTTTTGGGTCGTTTGCATTCGCAAATGGCATCGCTGACTGCCCTATTAAAGAGGGTTTAGGGTTTAGGGTTTAGGGTTTAGGGTTTCTGGCGTGTAATGGCGTGTAAGGCCTATTGGGAGGCAGCTCTTGAAACGGCGCGTTTAGCAGGGTTTAAATTTGAGGGTTTAGGGTTTAGGGTTTAGGGTTTAGAAACCTCGTCATTGGGTGTTTTGGGTCGTTTGCATTCGCAAATGGCATCGCTGACTGCCCTATTAAAGAGGGTTTAGGGTTTAGGGTTTAGGGTTTAGGGTTTCTGGCGTGTAATGGCGTGTAAGGCCTATTGGGAGGCAGCTCTTGAAACGGCGCGTTTAGCAGGGTTTAAATTTGAGGGTTTAGGGTTTAGGGTTTAGGGTTTAGAAACCTCGTCATTGGGTGTTTTGGGTCGTTTGCATTCGCAAATGGCGTTGTTCATGGTTTTGTCGGGAATGACGAGGAGGTGTCTGTACACCCAAAAGGTGCTGGTTTCGACAACTCCCATTCCGCACAATTCTTGACTTTTGAAGTCAATTGTTTTGGGATTTTCTTTATTTTTTTCGCCAATAGCATTAATTCTTTCGGTGCGTTTCAATTCCGCGTCTTTTTCCGTCTCTAAAAGCGTTTTTGCCGCCTCTTTGGCCTCTTTTTTCTCCAAGTTCTCCTCCAAAAGCTCCTCCCCCTGCGGGTAACTCGTCGACGCGCACAGCGCGTTCTTCACGGACACGAAGTGGGCGCGGCAGCGCCGCGAGGCGTTTTTGTCGTTCAAGTAGGGCCTGCGGAAAAAGAAAAACAAAGAAGTTTTGAAGTCCTTTTGGCCCTAAACCCTAAACTCTAAACCCTAAACCCTCAACCCCACGCGCCCGAGAGCTTCCGGGAACAAAAAGCAAAAAAAACGACCACAAAGTCGCCAAGTTAGCCACTGAACCCCAAACCCTAAACCCTAAACCCTAAACCCTAAACCCCAAACCCTCAACCCCAACCCCCAAACCCCAAACCCCAAACCCTAAGCCCCAAACCCTAAACCCCAAAAGCCCTAAGCCCCAAACCCCAAACCGTAACCCCTAACCCCTCACCCCTCACCCCTCACCCCAAAGCCTAACCCCAAGCCCTAAGCCCCAAACCCTAAACCCTAAACCCTAAAGCGTAAACCCTAAACCCTACATTTTTTCTCTCCAGTTGACGACGGCGGTTTCGGGGACGCAGCAAGTCATCCCCTTTTGAGTGCAAACCACAAAAGGAGTTCCAGTTCCTGGAGGCGGCAGCAAATGAGTTTTGTCTCCTTCGAAGAAGGGGGCCCTAAACCCTAAAAGGTTGTATCCCCTGCTGCGGAGGAAGCCGGACTGCTGCAGCAGCTGCAGCTGCTGCATCAGCTCCTCCACCGGCACTGCAGCAAACATTGTGTCTCCAGTTTTGAACAAAGAGTGAGCAGCAAGAATGGCAATTGCTGCTGCTTCGATTGCTCCTGCTGCTTCCACAGCAATCTCTTCTCCAGTTTGCTGCTGGTCTTCGTCTCCTTCTCCGGGCTGCTGCTCCCCGGGCTGCTGCGGCTGCTGCGGCTGCTGCGGCTGCTGCTGCTGCTGCCGCTGCAGCTGCTGCAGCTGCTGCAACTGCTGCAACTGCTGCTCCTGCTTCTGCTGCTACTGCTGCAGCTGCTGCAGCTGCTGCTGCTGCTGCTGCTGCCGCAGATGCTGCTGCTGCTGCTGCAGCAGTTGCTGCTGCTGCTGCTGC